AGAAATAGTCCCCAAACATTCCTCAAACAGGCAAACAGAAATAGTAGAGAATTTCAAGAATATTTTCTTTTAATTACCCCCAATAGCTTCATCTTAATTTATCTTTGGCTGCTTCCTATGTACTCATTGGGTAAGTTGTTCATAGGGAATCCACTTCAGCTCTTCTAATTCCCTTCCAGAACTTTGCTGTAACTTTGCTTTTTGTTCTTAGCGTTGCTGATGCAGCATCTCAAAGCACAGAAGGATTTCTCTTTTGGCTCAAGTATCCTCTTGACTGACTTGGTTTAATCACATTGGTTTGTTGCTGTCTGTCCTGGTTTCCTATCCGTTGATTCTCTGGTTTTCATCAAGAGCTCAAAGTCATCAGTTTAAATAACGAGCATAGTGCTGTTTCTGAGAAGCTTATAGTGAAGCTAGTTTCATCATTATCCTGTTTTTCAAACGCTTGAATATTTACTAAGAAAATTCAGATTTTTTAAAATCTTCATTATATATTTTCACAGTGAAGTTCGAGGTCAGAAAAGAAAATTGTGTCATAGAAAGATTCTAAGTTGTTGAGACAGAAAAACTCACTCTTTTGCTCAGAGTATTGTTTTCTACCTGGTGTATTGTGCATATCAGATCTATGTCTGTTAAACCCCTCTTATATAACTATCTGGGAAATGGTGGTTTGAAAAACGTAGCTGTAAGCAACATCTCAGGCAGTGGATTAGAAAACCGTTCAGGTTTAATAAATCTAGAAAATTTGGAATTGTAATGACAAAAATCTTTTTCCTTTAAGAAATACAAGAAACTAACCCTTTCTTTGGCTGAGGTGCATTAAATGTCACTGATTCCTAGGGCTCAGTGCATTTTGTTTTGGCATATAATATTTTTTGTTCAAGAGAAGGATTCAGCAGGCAGTCTGTATTTTAAGTCCTTAAAAAGTCATTTCCAGCTGTTCTTTCCAGGCTTAATAAGGTGTGATAGTTAGAAGGGAAGCAATACCACAGATAGCAGAGGAATGGGAGGTGAAGGAATGGGAACAGCACTGTATTTCCCTTCTCTAGTTTCCTTCCTTGCTTCAGTACATGGAAGTGACTGGGGCAGCATGCTTCAGCTCTTGCCAATGTGAGGGCAGTTCGTGCCATGACTGCAGCCCTGCAGTGTAGTGGTGGTTTATATGGTTCCTAACTTATTTTAGGCACAAGTGTTTCTTTATATAAATAGTTAACTTACTAAATCTACTACGCTTTATGTTGAAAGACAGGAGAAGTGTGGAAGTCCTGCTAACCCTGTGGTAGTGATCGAGAACAGAGCTGTGAACATTGGCCAGCTCTACATTATGGAGGAAAGCTGGTAAATTTTTAACTGGGCTCCAGTCCCCGGAGTCTCTGCTAACTAGAAGATAAGCCTTTGCACTTTCTTTGTTTTTGAGATGTAGACACAAATTCCTTACAGACCATTTCACTCGTACTTCTTTGGCTACAACTTCTCTGGTTAGACTGTGTAGTTACTTAGAGACTGCGCACAGCAAGAAACTGGATGATGGCACTGCAGAAATGCGTGGAGAAGAATTCTGCTTTTGCTAGTGCCTGGTAGTATCTCACTTCAGGTGACATATTTTCTTTTTTAACTAAAACTAGCAGCTTGGAATATGCAAGTTCCTCTACAATATTTTAAATACACTGGAAAGTGCTCTCAGAAATACCCTTTGAATTTTGCATAGTCCTGTGTGGAGCCAGGAGCTGGACTCAGTGAGCCTTGTGAGTCCATTCCAGCTCGGGGTGTTCAGTGACTATGGATTCTAAATATACTGAGGTTCTGGCTATGTGTCAACTGCCTCTGCTGCGTTCTACCTGTGTGGTCAGCAGTGACAGCTTCACTGATGGCAGTACAGAAGTGTAGATATGTTCTGTCTGTGTTGCAGCTTCTACTCTTATATAGTAAGGTCAGGAAAGCAGTTGCAGATATTTCTACTGCAGACTCGCTGTCTACATGAAGGCTGCTCATCATCTGAGAATAGTATAATATGATTGCTGGGGCTTCTCTACTGCTTAGAGCAGTAGCTAACAGCATCCAGAGCAGGCTGCCTAGCCACTGGACCCACAGAAAGGCGCTCTGTTAAGAAGTCCCACAGAAATGCATTGCATCCCAAGTATTTTGTTAGGATTGCAGGGAATGTGAAGCAAAGATGCAGATTTTGGCAGATGAGCAGGAGGTGGCTGCCAGTCTGAGGCACAGATGGAGCATTTGGAGAAGCCAAAGCAGCATGGGCTTTCTGTTCCTTTCGTGAAACCATCGGACTGATTAGATTTTTAGCACCTGAAATGGCCTAATTTAGGTTTAGAGATTAAAAAAACAGTAAGGAAAAACAGTCTCTTTTTTATTTCTCTTTCACAATATTTTTTTCATTGGATTTAGGAGATCAGGACCACATTTTATTTTGTTTAAGCAGCCTGCTTGTGTAGAGTGTGATTTTATCATAAAAGTGAAATCCACAGCAAATTTCTTATTTGCTAGGTGGATAGGTGAGTCTTTGATGATATTTGCACCTTTTGTAGTGCCATGTTGCCAAAAATCTGCTTGGCAGTAGATGTAAAGTGTGGCTAGTTCTTTGCACTTTTTTTTCGATCTTACTATGTCAGCTGACAAGTACAGGTCAAAAAATAATGTTCACATTCAAGACACTTGTTGATTGGTAACTGAGTACTGAGTGTATAGTATCAGTTTTAAGAGGTTCGTACGAAAAACACATTTGGATATGCAGCTTGATCACAGCAAAAAATTGTTCTTCTCAAGAGAAGTTACTCACCTGGGTAAGAGGAATTGTCATAGCCCCTAGCAAAAAACAGCTTTGTAAACATGTGTTTGTGTCAGGCTTCATTAACAGCCTGTGCAACATGAAATGTACCTCCCTGCTGCTCACCTGTCCTCTGACTCCTCTGATCAATTTTAAATGGGTACATGCAGACAAAAGCATTTGCAGGTCTATTCTTAGTAGAGTGAAGCATATTTGACACATAGTACTGTTAAGAATGTTGATCTCCTTTATTCCTTACTCAGCTTTATGCAGCACTTCTGGAAATTTTTTGTTTCAGTTCCTCATGCTGAGTTTTTCACATGCAAGTGCTCTTCTCTATTGTAGCCGTGTAGTGATCCGCGTGGAATTCTGTGTTCAGTTATGAACATATGGTTGCAAAAATGAGTCTGATGCTTAGATCACTTTATTGTGAATAAACAAAAATAATTGGTTACTAAAGTGAAAGTTTATTTAAGATTTAAAAGCTCAGCTAGCCTAGTAGGGATAAGTCTATGCCTTAGTAGACTTACTGGGAGGACATAAGGGAAGATGACTATCGGGAAGTCATTGTTACAAATGGAAATGGTGAAACATTGTGAAGGAAGTATCTGGCACTGAGTGAAATGCCTCTGCCATTAGTTTCTTTTATTCATTCTTTCAAAAGGAGTGGAACTCATGCTTTATTCAGCAAAACGCTGATAAATGTGTAAATGTGTAAATGTGAGGAGTCCTGTATTGTCTTGTAGAGAAGCAGTAGTGTGAAGATCCAGCCTATCTTGACAATTGAATTAGGTCTACTCAAATCTAAAAAGATTTAAAACTCAGAAAAACAAAAAGGGGAGTAAAAAACAACATTGTCCAACTTTGAAGGTTCAGTGAGGACCCTGCTAGACTGCTTTTGTAATTCCCTGTGGATCTCATCTAAGGCATCCGGAGATGTTCAACACGTAATGTCTGATTCTCACCTAATTTCTGTTGTAATTCAGAGGTTTGAGTGAAGAAGCACATCTGTTCTTGAAGGGGCCTAAAGACAGTACACTCAGGTTATGCTTCTCCTATTCCAGGAACACGCATTTCAGAGCAGTGGCTATAGTTGGTTTGGTTTACAATAGTTATGAATGTAATTGTATAACATTTGAATGATTTGAGTTACAGCCCGATCTAAGCTGTAGGTCTTGATTAGCCTGCAGAAGGCTGAGTAAACAGTTCTTGCATTGTGAGAGATTACCACAGAAAGACAAAAGCCATCTGAGAAAAGATGTCCTCCAGCCCTTCTTTCTGGAATGGGTCACTGATTGGGTTTGGGCACGTCAGGAGTGCAAGACCAGGCAGGGAGCCAGTAGCAGGGAACTGGTAGCATAGAGGTGATGTATGTCAGTTGGTGTGAAAAACTGATTTTTACTCTCTAGGTTATGTTTTGTATCTTAAATTGCCCCATATGAAAAGCCCAAGTAGATGAAAGAACAGAGATCACTGTCATGACCTTTAAAAAAAAAAGAGTGTACCTGGGAGAAAGATTGTCACAGATTCAAACTTCTTTGATAAAGAAGGACAGAGCGGCATTTTCAGCTTGCTGGTGTGCTCTAATTACTAAGTGTCAATTAATGAAAGATTAAATGGTTTAACCGTGTTTACATAGCCAGTGACAGAAGTCAGCTTTCAGTGGATTTTCACCTGCCCTGCTGAATAATGTGTGAATGCTGTACTGATGAACAGCTGGTTTCTATCATGAAAATAAATTCTGTGATATTTGCATTTATCTGCAATGTTTAGAATTCTAATTTGTATTTGAAGTATAATTTGAACATATAAGCACATAATATGTAGAGGTTGTCAGGTATTAGAGAAAGTTATGCTTATCAAAACATCTGTTTAGATAAGTTCAGTTGCATAGTTAGTCCTTTGGGACAAGGGTGTGACTTTCTTGCCCCTTGATGCACCGTAACTGAGATTCTTGAATTCCTTGAACTGACAGCTTTTCCAAAGTGTCTGATTCTAGAGAGGTAAATGAGATGTATTAAATATGCATGTTTTTGAGTAACAGTCTTTTGATTTTCAGTTTTTCTCGAACAGTTCATTCTTTCAGCATACTCTGTTGTCAAGTGTTTTATGCAAAAATGTTCTTTGGAACTAACTACAATTTCTAAACGTTTTAATGTGTTTAAAATGTTCCATTTTATTATATGTCAAGCTTATCAATATTTTGTTGCTTTTTTAGATTACCTTTCTCAAGGGATAGATCTGTCTGGAATAGAAGTAATTGAAAATGACCTGCTTTTTATTGCAAGAGCTCGGCTGGAGGTAGAAAATCAGGCTAAAAGGTTACTTGAGCAAGGTGTGGAGACTCAGGTAAAATACATGTTCTTTTTTTACTTCCTTTCACAAGTGAAGTTTGAAGGGTGCTGTGAGACTTGATTTCCTTTGTTTGGTCTTGCATTTTCTAATGGATGTTAAACTTAAAACCATCTTACATTCAAGAGAAAGTAATTCACATATCAGTATTCAGATTCACGTATCAGTATTCAGAGAAATTGACAAAAGTAGCTTTGTGCAATATATTTATTTGCAAAAATAACATTTTGTAGGACCTAACCCTGAAAATTTGTGAGGGAGTTCGTGCGGACAAAAGAATTCTAAACAGTGTGATAAAAAAAACCTGCTAATGAAGAGAATTTTGTATTTAGCGCAGTATATGACATTGCTGATATTGCCAAGCTTTGCAGGTAATTCTGGAAAATGTAGTTTCTTAAAACTAAGAAGATTTCTGCATTTTAGCTGTGCAGTTATGTAACAAAACGATTTGATGGATTTCCGATTAATACTTTAAAAGGCATTGTAGACTTTGAGGTAGATATTCACTATACTCATAATTACAGTCTTCTATACTAAATGTAATTATCTACGTTTTTAATAACCTGGCTGTGTGTGTTATTTAACTATTTGTAGTATTATTTGTACTGACCCTTTGCCTGTTTTTAAAATTTGTCTTCCCTTGGCTATTAAAAAAACCCAACATATTTTAATCTCCAGTACTACAGTAAGAGGAGAAATCTAGCACAAGTTCGTATCAGTTTTGTTTTTTAAATTAGAAAACAAAGTGTATTAGAACAAGATGTTTCAATGCTGTTTGTTAAAAATGGTTAACCTCGTGAGGCAATATAGCATTTATTTGTAGTATTCAATGCTGACATGAGAGAAGAACATAAATGGAATGGAAAATCTCGTAATTAAATTGGCTTCATTAGATAATTGAGGATTAAAATGATCATTATGTATCGTCTTATACCTCTCATTGTAAGTAAATGTGGTAAATACCGTTCACTATTTACTGATAGCAAAACAATAGGGGAAAAGAAAAATGCTTTTTTTTGTGTAATTACTATTCAAATATTGAAACTCCTGGCTTTTTGAGCACGTTGCTGAACATGAATTGGGCTTGTTACAAGCTATGAAATATATGCTATGTTAAATGAAGACTGAACGATGATAGGGGCTGAGAAAAATCTATTTTAAACATAGCAAAAGTCTTCATCGGTGTCGACCCCTTCTAGTTTTTCATGTCAGATTTGACCTTCTCTGATAATTTTCTCTTTATATTAAGTACTAAAACAGAACTGACAAAGATACCCTGGGGAAATCAATCCCACTCTACTTGAAAAATTGACAGATTTATTAGGTGTTCCAGGCTCTATCCAGGTAATCAAGAGATTATTAAAGGATTTGCTTGTTGTGCTTTAGCCAGGGGCCTGTTTCTAGCAAGAGAGATTGTTTGGAAGATTGTTTAGAAGAACATTTTTAGTGTTTACTCCTATCAGAAATGGGTATTTTTATTAAGTAATGTTGGGCTATGTCTCACGGATTTGTTGTTGGATACAGTTTGCTGATTTAATGTTGGAATAATATGTTTTATAAAGTATGCATGCAGACATTGCCCAAGAAATATGGAGTTTGAAATACGACCAACGGCTTCTGTGTCTTTGGTTCTTAGTATTGTAGCTGTTTATTGACAACCTGGTTTACATTTATACCTTCCAAGCCCTGAGATTTCCCACAAAGGGGCATAGAATCTTCATCTTTTCATGTGCACTTTGTCATACAGTATTTTTTAGATAGGCTGCCTTTTTGATGATTCCTATTGTGGTAGCCAGGTCTGTACCGCTGAGAATATTGCGGGTGTATTTTGTCCAGGTGGTGTCCATGAGCCAGCAGTGTGCCCTCACAGCCCAGAAGACCAACCGTATCCTGGGCTGCATCAAAAGTAGCATGGCCAGCAGGGTGAGAGAGGTGATCCTGACCATCTACTCTGTGCTGGTGAGGCCTCAGCTGGAATATTGTGTCCAGATGTGGAGACCTCAGTACAGGAGAGACTGTTGGAGCACGTCCAGAGGAGGACCACAAAAATGATCTGGCCTTTGAATATCTGAAGGAGAGCTACAGGAAAGAAGGGGACGGACTCTTTAGCAGGGTCTTTTGTGATAGAACAAGGGAAATGGCTTCAAATTTAAAGACGATAGACTTAGGTTAGATATAAGGAAGAAGGTTTTTACAGTGGGGGTGGTGAAGCGCTGGAACAGGTTGCCCAGAGCTGTGGTTGATGCCCCATCCCTGGAGACTTTCAAGGCCACACTCTTGGCCCTGGGTGACCTGACCTAGCTGTGCATGTCCTTCTTCATTGCAGGGAATTTGGACTAGATGACCTTTAAAAGTCCCTTCCAACTCTAAAGAGTTTATTATTCTATGATCCAAGCAAAGGCTTCTATGTGTGCTCACAGCAGTAACTTTAAAGCCACCATCTGGGTATAAACTAGAAGAGTCGCTCAACATTTCTAGATTTAACAGGTTTTCATAGAGCTGCCAACCATGCTTGTCTTCCTAATCCTTTTAGAAACAGTAAGCCTTCTCTGCTCCTGTGGGCAAAAGTAAAGCAAATAATGGTAAATCCATTCAAGTGGAGGTAGCAATGGCTACAGGCATTTTTTTATTGCATTGTATGCTTTGTTACCCACTCCTGGTGTACATAGTACAGATTAATGCTCTGTCATGAGCAGCATCAAGAAAATTGATTCAAATTCTGTTCTTTCTGTTTAGTTCTGAATTTCTTCATAGCTTTCCTTCACACTTTAAGCAGGCTCATAGCAGATAGTGTAGGAATCAGGAGAGACTGCTTTAACAGAGATACAACCAGAGCATTATTATATGCTCTGGTCAGTCTCTTAGAATATACAGCAGTGTTTTCTGCCTAAAAACAAGAAAACAAGAAAAGGTACGTAGCTGTCTTGCAACCACGTGAAGTGTCCCCTGCATTTCATTTCTTTGGCTTACAGAAGGAACTCTAGGTAAAATGATCTAAATTTTCCTTAGACACCACTTTTTTCAGCAAGTGTATTGTGTAAGGTATATACGAATAGTAAATTACTCACAACAAGAGAAACCACTCAATCCTTTATAGAACAGTTCTGCTGGACAGTGTTGTGGCTGCTATACATAGAAAGAAAACTTACTCCACAGCTTAGCTCATGCTTCAACTCCTTTCTTTTATATTATCATGCTTAGTGCTAGACTTCATCTTACAGCCAGGACAGGTGGTTGCCCACACTTAGTTCCCTCAGGTAATTAAACTGTTGATAGCATAAAGGGCCAGGTAATGTGTACACAAAAGAATACATACCCATCTCTCCCATCTTTACTTCTATTAAGATGTAACACAAGTTGTGAACTAGGTTTAATGCTTTAACCACAGTTATGGGGCGTCTCTAAGTAAGAAGGGTAGATTTTGGCAGGCTTTGTACTAGTATGTGTGAAATGGTTTAGGAACCTATGCTATTGCTTTTGACCTTACCAATATAAACTTTGTTTATTTGTTAGGATGTAGATGATGACGATCATGGTATCACTAAATACAGAATAAAACATATTTAGGTCAAACAGGACATGATGTGAAGATGAGAGCAGAACTCAGAATTCCTTGATTATGCACCCTAAACACAGTTTATGTTACAGAAAACTTCCTTGTTTTTCTACCTAGCATAAATCTAGTGAGAGCTAGATTCATTAAAAATAGTGAAAGTTTCTGGTGTCCTTATAGTGAAGTTTCTTGATTGCATTAGAGAAAGCAAAAAATAATCTCCTTTGTTCAAATGTTGAATTGTCTGCAGTTTTTCTTTAGTATATGATTTTTTTAAGAGCTCTCCTAATTATAATCTCATAGAATAAAGAGGGAAGAAAGCAAACAAACAAAAATAATCCTAAACTCTGCAAGATGTAAACAAGATGAATATGTAAACACTACAATCTGAGCACAAATGTCTCAATTACTTTCAATATAATATCTTTATAATTTTGCCAAATTGAACATATTTAGGGGTATTTTGAATTTCCATATTGTATCTGACTGAGTAGAATTTATTGTGATCTGTTTTGCATTCCACTTCATTCTGAGTCTCTCCTCTAAATTGAATTGGCTTTAGAACAACTACACCATTTTTTCCTTTCATTTTTTAATTTAAAATTATTGATTAGACACATAATTGTTCTAGTCTAATGCTACTTAGCGCCTGAGATTGAAGGATGAAGTATCTGCATAATTTACCAGTGTTCTAGAAATTGCTTATCAAAAAGTTGCTCAATTTATCTCTAATCAGGGCCATCTAAGCTAGGTGCTTAGTAGTACATTTTGCAGTAGAACAGCAAGATTGGGATAATAATCTGATCTCCTTCTCAGACCAGCATTTAATCTCATGTCAAGGATCTCTATTGCTGTCCCTAAGGGATTGGTGGGAGCAGTATGCATATAATTGAGCATTTTTCTGGAGGTGATCATCAAGAAACTACACGTTGTTTCATATCAGGATCCTCTGAGCTGAGTGCTTATGTAGTACAACTTGCCGTGTTACACCAAGATTGGTGAAATTAATCTTAAATCCTTCGTAGGCTGGCATTTAATATGATGTCAAGGATCTTAAGCAATGCATAGTCTTTCTTACCCTGAAGCAGCATGTTCCAGGCATGCAGATGCACTTGGAGGTGCTCGAGGTATTTACGTATCAAAAATGGCTGGCATTGATTCAATTCAGTTTTTCACTGAAAAGATATTTTCACTTTTTTTTTGTGGCAAAACCCACAAAAAATGATAATGTTGCATTCTTGAGTTATTTCTAATAATTACTGCCAAACACTTGGCTTTTGTAGCAGTACTGTGTGAGTAAGGGCATGTGAACTTGAATTTCTAATTGCTAATCTTACATACTTCAATAAGATTATGTGTTTTATTAAAGCATTCTCTTTCTTGGTTGTCTTTGGTATAGACCCTGTACAGGTATATGAATGTGCTGTCTAAACCTGTCCAGTCT